CAAAGATGTGACGTCTAAGGAAGCAAGTAATGTATCTGGCAGTAATGGTTCACTAGCTTTGCTTTTTATGAGATAATCTGTCGTGTCTTGAAGATATGATGGTAATTTGTGGACATGTGGTCTCATAAAATGATCTAAATATTCTGATATCCTTTCTGTGGGGTGCCCGTTACCTGAGATTATAGGTCTGCCAGGGTTTCCTTGTTTGTGGATTTTGGGTAGAAGATAAAATCTACCTACTCTTGGGTTTTCTGGGCTTAAGTAGTTTTTGGTTTGCTGGTATATGTGTCCGCTTTGGTACGCCTCGTCAATAACATTAGTGATGATTTTTGCATATTCCAGCGTTGGATCATGGTCCAGTTTTTGGTAGAACCTAGCGTCACTTAGTTGTCTACTTGCTTCACTAATGTAGTCTTCCCTATTCATAACGACAACAGCGGAACCCTTATCTGCAGGCTTAATTATTATGTCTGTTCTGCTTTTCAGTGAGTGCAGGGCATCTGTTTCTTCTTTTGTCAAATTAGAATATTTGTTAGTATGGTTGATATGTCTGGAAGTATCGTTTTCAACCGAGTTGATAAAGGCTTCCAGATTCGGAATTGAACTTTTTGGTGGGGTCCAGTTACTTTTCTTTCTAAATGTGGGTTGGTCGCAGCTTATATTTTCCTTTGATTTGTTTGGTGGTTGCAAGGCAAAATGGGCTTTGAGTCTTAACAAACACTAATGCAACTGTTACTAACACAGTAGTCAACATCTCCAATTTAGAACTTACTGATGCAGAAATAAAACTTTTATCGAAAGGTTTGAGTTTCTGTCCCCGTCCTAAAACATACGACTGAGGGAAGCTTAAGAATGACACCGAAGAATTCATCCGCCGACTTGTTTGTGGATTTTGGGTAAAAGATAAAATCTACCTGCTCTTGGGTTTTCTGGGCTTAAGTAGTTTTTGGTTTGCTGGTCTATGTGTCCGCTTTGGTAACGGGCACCCCACAGAAAGGATATCCACAAACAAGGAAACCCTGGCAGACCTATAATCTCAGGTAACGGGCACCCCACAGAAAGGATATCAGAATATTTAGATCATTTTATGAGACCACATGTCCACAAATTACCATCATATCTTCAAGACACGACAGATTATCTCATAAAAAGCAAAGCTAGTGAACCATTACTGCCAGATACATTACTTGCTTCCTTAGACGTCACATCTTTGTACACCAACATACCGCACAACGAAGGGTTACAGGCATGTAGCGAAGCATGGGAAACAAGAACTGTAAACAATCCACCCACACACTTCTTAATCCAACTCCTGGAGCTTGTCCTAAAACTCAACAACTTTGAATTTAATGAAGAAAACTACCTACAAATCAATGGAACTGCAATGGGTACTAAAATGGCCCCTTCGTATGCTAACATTTTCATGGGAAAACTTGAGGGAAAGCTCTTAGCATCGGTTGAGCGTACACCATACCAGTGGGTACGCTTTATCGATGATATAGAAATGAAGTGGCAGTATGGAAGAGAAAGTCTGGATGACTTCATTTCAAAGGCAAACAACTTCCATCCTTCAATAAAATTCACGGCAGAAATTTCCAACTCAAACCATGTTTTCCTGGACACAACAACCAGACTGGTGGAAAACAATTTACACACAGACATCTACTCGAAACCAACCGACAAACACCAGTATCTTCTCCCAACCAGCTGTCATCCAAAACACTGCATTAAGAACATTCCATATAGCCAGGCACTGAGGATACGCAGAATTTGCTCCGACGATGAAAGATTCCTAGAAAGGTCTGAAGAGCTGGCTAAACATTTAATTTACCGAGGCTACGACAAAGACCTGATTGCGGAGGCAATCCAAAGGGCCAAACAAACAAACCGTGATGACCTACTCAGATATGGACAGAACGAAAAGGTTGATAGGATACCATTTATTCTGACCTATCACCCAGACAATCCCAAAGTAGGTAAAATCATCGCAAACCACTGGCCAACCGTGCAATCGTCAGACATACTAAACCTAATACTTCCGAACAAACCTGTAGTAGCTTACCGGAGACCAAAAAACCTAAAGGACATCCTAGTCAGGGCCAAGCTAACAACAATCGCTAGTCAAAATCAACCTAGTCAATCTGGACCCTGTCGCGATAAAAGATGCAAAACCTGTCAACATATGATAGAGACCAAGACATTCACTAGCACAGTGACTAAAGAAAAACTAAACATACATGGTCCAAACAAAACGTGCAAAACAGCGAATGTGATTTATCTCATCACATGTAAGATCTGTGGCCTTCAGTACGTGGGAGAAACTGAAAAGCTACACATAAGGATAAACCTTCATAGATCTGATTGGATGACAAAAAAGCTGTACAGAAGCCCGGTCGCAGAACACTTCTCCTCCCCTGGCCACACTTTCAGTGATATAATACTTATCGCTATTGCCAACAACCACAGCTGGAGTTCCGAAACCAGGAAGGAAAAGGAATCATACTGGATACGCCGCCTTAGAACATTGAAACCAAGCGGTCTAAACCAAGAAGACTAGAAAATGAAAACTATGCACTAGTAGAATTTAACATTATCTAAATCTTCTTATCCTTCAATTTTTACTATAAGAATAACCGGTATAGAACCAAATATCCGGGATATAATCTCCGTTACATATGTACACAAAATAAAAATAGATGTCGCTTTGGCTTGTAGACTTTTAGGGAATTATACAACGTTTTCAGTTTCCGCAACTAGTCTATACAAGCTGGTTGTATTTATAGTTTTAGCACATGTGAAGATAGAAATGTAGAGGTTTACAAACGCAACGTTTTTGTGTTTATTTGTTTGTCGTAACTATGTTTTGTATTTGCCTTTGAAAAAGACTCATTACGAGTCGAAAGCGCTTAGGCTAGTTAGTTACTAGTTTCGTACTGTTCGTCGTCAGTTTATTGCATCTATTTTAATTAATCCCTGACAAACGTGATCCCTTGGTGGATCCAGTACGCTTGAGAGGGTTGTTATTCGCCATATGATTTGTATTCTTTATATATATATATATATATATATATATATATATATATATATATATATATATATATATATATATATATATATAAAAGCTAGAGAATGGGTGGGACATCATGCTACATATCTACGGCATGATAACCCAGTGCTGGACATCACTATAAACTGCCCCATTACTGACATCGCTGCGATATGACTGAAAAATTGTTGAAGCTAATTAAAAAGTCGGAAGCACACACACACACACACACACACACACACACACACACACACTCTCTCTCTCAATCTCTCAAACACACACACACACATTTATAGAATTACTTTCTATTCCGATTTGGAAAATATGCGCTTCTGATGTCATTCAATATGTATGTATGTATGTATGTATGTATGTATGTATGTATGTATGTATGTATGTAGGTAGGTAGGTAGGTAGGTAGGTAGGTAGGTAGGTAGGTATGTATGTATGTATGTATGTATGTATGTATGTATGTATGTATGTATGTATGTATGTATGTATGTAAACTAACATATATCTCGATAAAATAGGAACAGTGTTCAAAGGTGAGAAACTTAATTTTGATTGGATGCGGTGGCTTCTATGTCATCCTATGTTAGTGAGTTCAGGGGAGGACATAACTTGAAAATGCAGATAAATAATCACTTTTCAACTGCCGGTCCGTATTTGGGCAATGACTGTGATAGTCTGAAATTTGAAGACGTAATCAGTTTAAACCACTGATAACAAGGAAGTAGGAGATGAACGTGAAAAATATCAGATTCCCGGTATATATTACAACTGGCGTGAACAAAATGTGTTTATTTGATCAAAAATAAAGCAATTATATATATATATATATATATATATATATATATATATATATATATATATATATATATATATGTATGTATGTATGTATGTATGTATGTATGTATGTATGTATGTATGCATGTAAGTATGTATGTATGTGTGTGTGTGTGTGTGTGTGTGTGTGTGTGATTGACACAGCTCACCTTTTTGCTTCGTTCTTCTCAGTAGCCTTTGTAAGCATCCTTCAGAAAAGTAGTACAGATTAAAATGATCCTGAAACAAAATTATCTCCCCTTTCTCAATTTGTTCTCTTTACATTTGATTTTTTTCAACCTGTTAAAAGTTAAAGTTTTACATTGCAATCTATACTATATAGCCAATATTGTGCAATATGCCTTTGAACCACACACACATTCATACACGCGCGCACATACATACATACATACATACATACATACATACATACATACATACATACATACATACATACATACATACATACATACATAGTGTGTTGCGGCATAAACGATATACAACAATAGAAAAAGATTTTTGTATTATATTAAAGGACCGGTTCAATAATGAGATTATACAAATATATTTTATTGTTTTGTAATATTTTTTTAAAACCATTTTCTTAAAATCTGATTCATAAATTATTATCAATTATCATTGTTCAAGAAGCCAAGATTGTACTCAACTTTTAGTAAATTTGGAGTGTCAGGCCAGTAGTACAGTATAATATTCATACCTTGATTAGGCACTAGAGATGAAGCTTCGTGTAAAATCATATAGCATGCACTCAACGTATAATTTCTATACTCATTCATAAGGTACAATATACAGTCAACAGACTCAGCGTAAATTATTACAATAGTCAATGTAAAGTCATTACTATGGAACATATAAGACTTATTGACTTGTGTGTGTGCGCGTGGATTTTTAACATAGCTTAAACAATTTTTCAGTCATATCACTACGATGTCTGCAGTGTGACAGTCTATAGTGATCTCTAACACTGGGGCATTATGCCGCAGACATGTGGAATGATGTCCCACCCAGTCACAATATCCTGACACCAGACAGATCAATCCTGACACTAACCTCTTAAAGCTGAGCGCCAAACTGGTTAGCTGTGAGTACCATTTATATGACTTTGGTATGACTCGGCAGCGCTTCAAACCCTCGACCTCCCGCATCTGAGGCGGACGCTTTAACCACTAGGCCACCGGAGCGGTTATTACTTATGCTTACATACTTATAAGTACACTGATTAGTAATTAAGAATATGTATTGATGCTGTGTTGATAAACAAAAATATTTACCCTATACAAATAAATCATAAAATGTGAGTCACATTGACCTTCATGAGTTGTAACGGTGTAGTACTAAGAGAGATGTGTCCAATGACTAAGTTTCATGACTGGAACGTAAACAGCACCCAATTCATAAATACAATGAACATAGATTTTGAACCAGTCATTGCTACATAAAACAAAAATAAAAGAGACCCTTTATTTCGATGAGAATGTGGTACGGATCAAACTGCGTCCCCTCACCTGGTTAAATGATCTTAGATTGGATAGTACGCATTTAGCGTACAGACAATCACGTGGGCATGAGGTAAATGCAAAAACTGCCTCCTTTTACAGGGTATTTCAATGAATTCACTGCAGTCCTTGATCTAGCTCATAGGAAGAAAGGATGAGGTTCATTGAGACTGTAAATAGATATGTTCTTTTACCTGTGCGAATGCTGACACATGCCTACGCTTCGGTGGGTGTAGTAAATATGCTATATACTTCATGAAAGTGAAACAGAAATGAGATAAAGTTAAAATATTCAGTACAGCATTGAAGACGATATTAGAAAACTTTGTTTAATTGGTTCTGGAACCTAACTGACAGGAAGAACGAAGATAAAGTTGTTTCCATGCATGATTTTTATTTATTTATTTTTCTTAAATACACCTTACTGAAGAGATGGGGGAGAGCTACATGTATGTCATGTTTTTTATTTTATATATTTTTTGGGGGTGGGGTGGTGGTTGATTAAACTGGGTAGATCTTTACTTAATACTAATGTTTAATACCACAACACTGTACTGCACTTAAGTTCATTTAGTCTGCATGATATAGTCAGTAACCGGCAATTCATTAATATGCCAACATTGTCGTTAAAGTACAACCAATCAACCTTACACAAGACTGTAATACTAGCCTGTACACGTTATACGGATCACGAATAGTTTGTTATTTATTTGCGTTAAATTGTCTAGAACGATCTTTTACGCGTGTCTTAAAAGGAAATGTGTTCGTAAAATGATAGGAGTGCTCACTAAACCTAAATTGATTCATGACACAAAGCCTTTATCTGAATGGACAGGACATATCAGAGTGTCATACTATAAACAGTACGAGTCCGTTGAAAGTATATCATAACTATGCCAAATGTCCCTGTTTATTGTCTCGTTCTTTAATATTACGCAGAGTTAAAATCGGGATGTGTTGCGGTCATAGAGGACAATACGGTCTTTTGCTTACTATGCCATTTTGAACAAACAAAAACTTTAAACCAGGTTTCAGCCTGGAAACCTGACAGACAGGGTCTCAGTTTCAGTTTTTAAATACTATTCCTACATATTGTTTTCTTATATTAGGTCGATTTTGCGTATGACACATTTGATAATATGTATATTGTTTAAACCCAGTTAATGGACACATGAAGGTAGCTATCGAAGTCTCAAATGTTCCCACCTGGGAATCTTTTTTATCCTTAAAAAAAACTGAGAAACTTTTCAAGTTTGAGGAAGTCCTCCAATTCTGTTTTTTTTTTTTTAGATGAAATAAGACTTGTTTTGTAATTATGAGGTAATGTGACTGATTATTAATCTTTGATACGTTATCCATTGAAAAATTTGTCTGATAAAGAGAAGTTGAGATAATTAGCAAAACTGATACCAGTCTAGCCATTTACGTAATGCTCTTTATCTTTATCCCCTGTAATTTCTGAAGTTTGATAAAAGAGCAATGTAAATCAGACAAGTCAATTTTTTAAAATCTGCTCAAGACATATATTATCGTTGTCTGCCATATATTTCATTATCCAGATTCCAGATACAACTGGTAGTTAGGTTTTTTTTACACATCTCCGTGCCCTTCTTATGCATTGCAATTAAAATGTGGTCTAAAATATCGACTGCAATAAAACTTTAAAATAAGTTGACATTCGGTTGCTGGAGAAGAACTGTATACTGATGACATAAGTATGAGCTGATGCAGAAATCTCACTATTGTCTTTTGGCAAGAAAATATTTTGTAAACTGAGTACGGGTGTAATTTACACGTCCTATGTCGCTTATTTATAAAGGCAGTTATCTGTTATTAAAAAAAATTAAAAAAATTAAGACAACAACAACAAAAAAAAATGCTGCGGGAAGGTGTTCCAGATAGTTGATGCTTTTTATGCATGTGCTGTTAGGGTGAATAAAATGTTCACATTTTGTCTTTGTTGAGAATGATGAGACTGGTACCGTTTTTAGTGATCGTGGTGGTAGCCTAAAACGACGTGATATTGGATGTGGTTAGATACGAAAGTTGTCATATTATGGTTTAGACCACCGGTTTTTGTATATATTTAAAAGGTTATCATGCATTTGGAAACGTTTGCCGTTATTTATCTTTGCAACGTCACGTACTTGCTGCAAGACTATTATACAGAGACACAGTATTGTCTACTGTCAGCCAAGTTTTAATTTAGTGTGGCTTAAAAGAATAACTACATCCATGTAATGATATTATTCGAATTTTTGCACGAGATCTTACTATTACCTTTACATATACATAGTATACTAATAATGAATTATTAGGAAAAAAAATATCTAGGAGGGGGATAACGATAATCATTGTAGAGTGTGTATATGTGTGCGTGCATGTGTGTGATTGCGTGTAGCTTTTTTAGTGAGGAGGTCTGGTGTGTGGTATATTGTGTTCTCATCTTTGTTATGGTTCAGGCCCAGATGATACAATTTAGATTATCTTGTGCGCTAAGAAAGAAAATATCCATCTACGTATGAGCTATAAGGATTTTATTAAACATTGGACCATCATCCATTGCCATCAAGCTGATTAGATTTAAACCCTAACACTAGTTGGTTATAAGCTGTAATAAAGTAGACTTTTGGATTTGGACATGATTCATCTGCGCTAGCCAAAGTTCCGATATGATAACACTATCTACATCGGAAACTTATTTAGCGATGATGGATCTCATTTTGATCAGGCCATAATTTCACTAATGCTTAAGACTTAAAGTTAAGCCTCGACCTGGATTAGAATATATGACATCGCTACTGTCATTCACGTAGGACAGTGGAGATCTGATTTTAATTAGACTGGGCTCGGCCCAAGACGCTTGACTCGTCCGATGTAAGAAACACTTAAAATTAAACCAATCAGGTCTCTGGATTCTATACAACAAGTTAAGCCAAACTCATCCTTTATTGGTGGAATCTTCATACTGTGAGCTTTTGTGATTTTATATGTAACATCACTCAAACGAAAAGTAGCAAATAAGAAGACTCTCTCTCTCTCTCTCTCTCTCTCTCTCTCTCTCTCTCTCTCTCTCGTGCGTCGGCTCAGGACTGTATCTAATGACTGGGGTTACGTTAAGATTTTTTTCCTTGCTTTTTTCTTCCTGTCTGTCTTTGTCTTCATACGAGCATGTTATGGTATTTGGATTTGTTGGATACGATTTTATCGATCATAATCCATGATCACAGATTTAAGCTTTTGTAAGTATAAAAGATTAGCGAACCAGGTCGACCACAGAAAAAGCGTGCTAAGGAACTGCAAGAGAGGCAAGTATAAAATTCTTTATATACTAACAACTAAGATATTGATAGGTTACTTCCCCTATTCAGTTACTGAGGGTGTGATCATTGCATTCGAATTATAATTAGTTTAATCGTCCTTTAAACAAATCAGAGGACATACACCATAAAATAATAAATAAATAAATAAATAAATAAATAAATAAATAAACAAACAACGTTAGTTGCTGGACGTTCTATTTTACTATACACCTGTCCGCCTCAACTATTAAATACAGGACACACAGTACTAATGGTATGGAAAAATTGGAACCAGCCTGGAAATGGGTGAACATTTAATAGAGTATATATGTGCTTAGCTGGCCAGGATTGGTTAATAATGTAAGTTATGTTTTAGAAAAAAGAATTGCACTGACACACGGTCTTGATGCTCAAGCTGAGCGCCAAACTGGTTAGCTGTGAGTACCATTTATATGTCTTTGGTATGACTCGGCAGAGCTTCAAACCCTCGACCTCCCGCATCTGAGGCGGACGCTTTAACCACTAGGCCACCGGAGCGGTTATTACTTATGCTTACATACTTATAAGTACACTGATTAGTAATTAAGAATATGTATTGATGCTGTGTTGATAAACAAAAATATTTACCCTATACAAATAAATCATAAAATGTGAGTCACATTGACCTTCATGAGTTGTAACGGTGTAGTACTAAGAGAGATGTGTCCAATGACTAAGTTTCATGACTGGAACGTAAACAGCACCCAATTCATAAATACAATGAACATAGATTTTGAACCAGTCATTGCTACATAAAACAAAAATAAAAGAGACCCTTTACTTCGATGAGGATGTGGTACGGATCAAACTGCGTCCCCTCACCTGGTTAAATGATCTTAGATTGGATAGTACGCATTTAGCGTACAAACAATCACGTGGGCATGAGGTAAATGCAAAAACTGCCTCCTTTTACAGGGTATTTCAATGAATTCACTGCAGTCCTTGATCTAGCTCATAGGAAGGAAGGATGAGGTTCATTGAGACTGTAAATAGATATGTTCTTTTACCTGTGCGAATGCTGACACATGCCTACGCTTCGGTGGGTGTAGTAAATATGCTATATACTTCATGAAAGTGAAACAGAAATGAGATAAAGTTAAAATATTCAGTACAGCATTGAAGACGATATTAGAAAACTTTGTTTAATTGGTTCTGGAACCTAACTGACAGGAAGAACGAAGATAAAGTTGTTTCCATGCATGATTTTTATTTATTTATTTTTCTTAAATACACCTTACTGAAGAGATGGGGAGAGCTACATGTATGTCATGTTTTTTATTATATACATTTTTTTGGGGTTGGGGTGGTGGTTGATTAAACTGGGTAGATCTTTACTTAATACTA